ACATTCCTGACTCCTTCATCGCACTCCCTGAATCACCCGTCCGCACCTTCCTGCCCCTCCTCTTCCTCTTCAACTCCTCCAATTCCCCCCCTCAGCCCTCATCATCTGGCCTGATCCCTATTCATCCCTCCTACGTACTTCTCTCGCCTTCTCCTCCTCCTCCTTCTGTACGGAACAAGTGACCTGTCGGGCCTCAATTGAAGCCTGACTGCACAAGGAACGGAAAAGCGATTCCCCCCAATCAAAAAAAACGGAGGAACATCAGGCCCAGTCGAAGCCAAAGTAGACATTTCTCAAAGTTTCGACTGCACTCCCTCACTCCTATTCCTCCTCCTCCTCCTCCTCCTCCTCCTCCTCCTCCGTCTCCTCCTCGCCTAGTCTTCATGCCCTTGCCATCCATCTGAGTGTCAGGATGCGGAGAGGCACTCGCTAGACGGACAGGTGATGGTGTGGGCGACAATGTGCAGAAGGATGAATAGGAAGGCCTGCGTTACTGAGAATGTGTCTAGAAACAAGATGCACCCAGGAACATGTACATCGCGCATCGATTGGGAGACGAAGCGCGACGTGATCCATCCTCCTGGCCATACTCCCCAGTCTGGTACGCATGCATGCGCAACCGAGGACGTGCCATGACGGGTCGGGTGCACACTTCTGCAGGTCTGGGCGCAGCCAGGGGCACTCAAACTGTGCTCGCACCATGCGCTGCATTGGTTCGAACGGCCCTCGCCTTCCCCCTCCTGCTCTTTCTGCTGCTCCTCCCACCCATTCACGGACACGGCGTACATACAATAGGACCGTCTCTCTCACAGCACGGCACACCCACGTAGCAACGCATGCGTCCTCGAAGTGCCAACACGCCAGGAATCCCATCTGCTCCAGGTTTATGTGGGACATCGCGCGCACCCGCAGTTCCTACAAGCGTGAGGCACCCAAGAGTCGTCGACCATTTGGTCGTGCTCCTGACGGAACGCACACTGAAACTCTGCCAGGCCTCGCTGATTCGCGCCAAGCCTACCATACAAGTTGGCCAAGCCCTAAGATGAAGCGCATGTGGCGTTGGAACAGAAGTCCTCTGGCACGCTGCTTCGCGAGCGAGGGGATTAACAACGCAGGCTAGCGAGCCTAGGGCTCGCACCTGTGGATCGTGACGACGGGGGCAATGCACTATGAGGAAGCGGGGAGGCGGAGAGTCGGGGCGAGCGGGAGGGCTGATAATGAAGGCTACCGAGCCTGGGCCTCGCGCCTGTGGATCGTGACGACGGGGGCAGTGCACTGTGGGGTGACGACGATCGTGATGACGGGGGCAGTGACGACGATCGTGATGACGATCGTTACAAAAAATGATCGCCAAAACGAGGCGGGTCCCTGAGGCGTCATCTTTGCGCCTCGTGTGTCGAGCATGCATGTGTGTATATATAATTACACATAAAGATATACCCGATTAGCGTGTAGCAGAATTTGTTACAGTACACCATATCCCAGCGTAGCAGATGTATCAATGTACCATGTACTTCATTACTGTATTTACCGCATCATATCGCACCGTACAACGTTTTACATACTGCTCGGTTATACTGCACTGTTTCAAACTAATGTATGGCATCGTAAGCTAGCTTGCGTTCTATCCCAGTGCATGGCAATATCCTGTACGACATACTATCAAAACTCACACTGCATGATTCCCCAACCAGCTTGCTGAACGTGGTGCTGTCGTGGTAGAAGATAACTCCGGCGACCCTGCGACGTACCCAACCCATCGGCAACAAGGGATGATCTAAGGTGTGCCGACAATAATGTGACAGCAACACTGCAAGAGACGGTGCACGGCGGATCTCTATGTGTCGTGCGAAATGTGCGTGACCGACTCGCAGAGCAGAAGTATACAAGGCCAAGAGGCATTGTACCGGGAAGGACAAGCAAAAGGAAGATATGAGCGGAACAAACAATCACCTCGGCAGAAGCAGCGAGATGATGACGAGGTCTTTTTGGGATCTGCGCCTGCCTGCGTGGGACCCCACTGTGCTGGCCCCCCCTCCCAGCAGCCCTCAGAAATAGCGACGTTTTCACACTTCGCAGCCCCCCAAGGATGGCGAAGTCCCGGTTGGATCTACGAGGGGCCCCACTGTGCTGACTCCCCCGGCAGCCCTCGAAAGTGGCGACAATTTCACACTTCGCAGCCCCCCAGGGGACGGCGAGGTCCCGTTTGAGTCCGCGCGGGACCCCACTGTGCGGGCTCCCCCAGCAGCCCTCGAAAGTGGCGACAATGTCACACTTCGCAGCCCCAGGGATGGCGAGGTCCAGTTTGGATCCGCGTGGGACCCCACTGTGCATGCAGGCTCCCCGATCAGCCTTCGAAAGTGGCGACAGTTTCACACTTCGCAGCTCCTCAGGGATGGCGAGGTCCCGTTTGGGTCTGGTTCCCACTGTGCTGGCCCCCCCAGCAGCGACAGCTAGATCGAATCGGGTCGAGTCGGAGGAGTCGAAACAAGCCCTGCCCCTCTGCCTGGCGCCCCTGCACATCTCGGTCGAGGCAACCTGGGGCTCAAGGAACCTCAGGAGCACCCGGCCCCCTGCGAATCCGCACTGTTCCACACGATTTGATGCCACCCCGGCTGCCAGAGCAGGGGGGCACAGGAGTGAGGAAGGCTGGAAGGCGGTGAAGCGCACAAAGAGCTTCTCCATCCTGCGTACGGGTAACTCCTCTCTATCAAACCCCGCGACGGGTCGGTATGGCGAGCCAGGCGTTACGCCTGAGATTTCATCACCACTTACGATCCCGAAGATCAACAATTGCAACAGCTTCACAGATGGAAGGCGGGTCGTCCTCAAAATGTGGCTCTCGCCTCAGCGCCGCGCACATTCGTCTTCAAAGTTTGCAAGAGCTTCGCCGATGGAGGGCGGGTCGTTTTCAAAATGTGGTTCTCGCTGTAGCGCGGCGCACCTTCGTCTTAACAGTTTCAAGCAGTTTCAAATATGAGTAATCATGGTTGACGTCCCAGAAGCAATGGCTTGGCACTACTTCGGATTGTCAGGGCGCGACATTCGCGTTGATTTGCGGTGTTTCAGTCCCATGAAGGGCCTTCTGGCAAGATTCAGGATCGACACGGCGCAAAAGGAACGTTGATTCGCGGCGGTGAAGTCACCAATGCTGCTCTGGCAAGGTTGAAGATTTTCAGACGCTTGCCTTCCAACGGGGCACTTCACGCAGTGAAAATAAATCCTTGTAGGGACCTGTGAAGTGGAACTTGGAGAGGGGGGTTATTGCAACATCGTTGACGAGTCTTGGGCTTACACTGGTCCTCCTCCTCCTCATTATCCTCGCAATGCTCCTCCTCCTGCTCCTCTTTCTCCTCCTCCTCCTCCTCCTCCTCCTCCTCCTCCTCCTCCACCCTCCACCTCCTCGTCCTCGCTTTTCTTTTGTTTGGACAGTTCCCGCTGACTTTGTTTTTTTACTTTAGAAAGCTGTCTGCCCTGAGATAAAGCAGTTCAGCCAACATGATTAAAGAGAACACGAACACGCCGTTCAGTCTGCCAGCACTCAGCCAAGGAACGGTGTCGGCGGACCGTTGCCCTCAGACGAGCGTGAATGAGCTCCTCGACTGAGCTTTCAATAGCTTTCACACATATTGTGTCGACGACAATTGTGAGCAAACTAAAGGCGTCAAGGAACGCAACAGAAATCAATAGCACCGTGCGGTGTCGACCGACGATCGGAAAGAGTGACAAGAGCCAAAGCGGGATGTCAGAGAAGGGAGGCAACATATCTCCGGGCCAATGCTGACATAACCACTAGAACTTTGAGCACCGATTATATGGATAGTAGCATCATCAAGGATCTCTCCCATCCATCGAGTCAAACGGAGACGAAGATCAACGCCTGCATCCAGCAGGATGTCAGGAGAGCCAGCAAAAGCACGACACACAGCAGCGTGAAAGCCTCGCTGGTCGGGAGCAACTGAACACGGAAAACGACATAGGATGCCCTGCACACGCTCCCTCATCGTCCTCCCCCTTCCCCTCCTCCCCCATCGTCCTCCCCACCTTCTCCTTCTTCTGCTCCTCCTCCTCCTGCTCCTCCTCTTCCTCCTCCACCTCCTCCTCCTCGTCCATCCTCCCTCCGCGCGCGCGCGGCATCTCAGACACCAGAGTCGAGAGGATACCTGATGCGAAACGCGTTAGACCACCTCGCGCGAGGCAACGGGGGACGCCCGAAGGAGTCCGAAGGAGAAGGGTGCATGCTGGAAGCAGGCTCACACGGACCGCTCAGGACAGGCAGTCGGGAGCGCCAGCCGCGGCGCTCACGGAGCTCATCGTGCTGACCTTACGCATTATCTCGGGCCCCTGGGCATGGGGTGAGAGCTCCTTGGCCTCCAGCCTCCTGACACGCTTGTGGATATCGTTGAGGAACATGTGGCTCGCCGCGCCCATCTCCTTAATCTCCAGGATGACCAGCTGCAGGTCGAAGCTGGTGGCGGCACCCCTGAGCCTCATGCAGCCCTGCACGAAGCCGTGGATGTCGACCTCGTGCTGATTTCTTGGACGCCGCGGGCTGCCAGACCGGATTCGTTCCTTCTCGCTGTGGTGGGCGAGGGCGTCGAAGAACTGTTTCACGTGTTCCATGTTCAGCCCTAGACCGCCAGCCCCTCCCCCTCAGCGGGGCCACCAGACTGCGCAGCCCAAGCTTCATCGGCAAGCGCGTGACTGCGAGCTCTCTTTCGCTTTCTCTTTCTCTCTCTCTCTCTCTCTTTCTCTCGCTCTCTCTGCAGGCAGGCCTGCTCGCCAGAGATGCCCTCGTTCGCTAAAGATGCCAAGAAGATGCTGCCAAGATGGCCCCAGAAGCACCCCTCACTGCCCCGGGACGGCCCAAGAGGGCTCCAGACGGCGCCCAAATGGACCCCAAGCTCCCGACAACGATCCTATAAAGGACCCACGAAGCCTGCACTACGGCCCCAGACGCCCCAAGAGGGCCAGAACAGGGCCCCCCAGAAGGCCCGAAACACTGAACAGCCTGAAAGGTTCTTCAGGACCTCCAGGCCCCAACGAGAACCAAAACGACCCCAGAAAGAGAGAGAGAGAGAGAAAGACTCTTGAGGGCCCCCGGACGGACCAAGAGGGCACCAAGACGGCTCTAAAAAATCTCGAGAAAGGGCCACAAAACCCTCTAAGGCGAACGCTCCAGCAGAGGTCCAACAGGGCTCAAGAAGGAAGCCGCCAAGAAATCCAAAGAGGACCCGAGATCAGCCCACGGGGCCCCAAGAAGCCCCAACATCCTCCGGTTTGTGTGCGTTGGCCAGTAGCCGCGGGGCTCGCCGAAGGCGCCTTGGATAACATCAACAATCGAGGGATCTTTTCCCTCCTCAAACCATCCTCGAACTGCCCACGGGTCAGTTTGTTGGAATGGTCAACGTCCACTGCAAGGCACAGCCTCTTCAACTCGTCAGCATACTCCTGTTCTTCGCGCTCGTGTACCAAAGCTTGCTTCTCACGATTCGGCGATAAACTCTGCATCGCTGACTCGACGAACAGACCTGTAATCCGTCACCGTGCTTTCGGCACGGTGGGGCGTTTCAGAATTGCTGTTGGCTGTCTGGTAGGGTGTTAGTAGTGCCTCTAGGGCCGGACCTTCCAGTTTGAAGGGGTTGGGAGGCCCAACCAGCAGCTTCGCCTTAGGCGAAGCCAAGCTCCAGCTCTGTTGTACCGCAATAGCGATAGTCCCAGTAGGAGAGGATGTGCCATCTTAAGCAATAGGAAGATCCTTTTGGTCTCGATAGCAATCGCGTGTCTCGCAATGATACACAATCATATTTGGGCGGCCGGCCGCTTGAGCCGAAGTGGCTGCGGGCACACGCTCACTTCCGCTCCCTGTGTCCCCCAGTTCACTTTAGAGTCGGGGGGGAGAGAGACGAAGCGTGAGTCCGCCGCCCCTTTACAGCAGGTGCAGCAGCCACTATACAAAAGGACAGAAAAAGGGCGAGGCCATAAGGAAGGTGGACCCGCTCGCAAGTTGCCTTGCCTGTACGATTCTGTACTTAAGGTTACTCCTCAGGCGGCTACAGAACCAGATGTCTGGAACGGCCCGATATGGAGTATGATTACTTAGGTCATGTTTGAAGGCCTGTATACCTCCCATGACCTGTAGGAACATCTCTATGTCGATGCTCCCCTTGGCGTGACCGTCCGCAGTCATATCGCGGGTGTCGCACCACTGAATACTGTGCACGATTCCACGCTCCATCATGTGTCGTATCCAACTGATGTGCCCTAAAAGGGTGCACTCAGCCGGCTTCTTCAAGTCTTTGCTTGACAAGGACTTTAAAACAAACTCAGCATCTATGGTCAAAGTGACCTTGATGCTCAGGCCACCCAACTCAAGCATGTCCTTCAACTGAGTGGGCGCGAGCGGCCCTGCGTGGAGCTCGCGCTGAATAACTCGAGCGGACCTGCAAGCGGTGAGACTTGCAGTATGCATCGATCAAGCGGACGACAGGTTTACCGGATGGCGTGTTCCCACGCCGCAGCAGGTTTGCCCCGCGAATACCATAGCTTTCGACGTCATCATCGGCGTCTCCACTCAGGCGTCGATATCCTGAGTCGCTGTGCAGGTCAGCTTCGCCCGTGGGGATCATCGCCTGGTAGACGATCTTCTTGGGGCAGGCCTGCAGCTTCCTGGAATTCGCGCTCAGTCGTCGAACTTGAATATTGGTCGGTTCTTGGACACGTTGTAGAGATACAACATACACCATCAACCGCACCTGGGTGATTAACGCACATGCCAGCGCACCCCTGAGGCTGACGAACACGTCTGCAACCATCTTGGATGCCTGAGCGTCAGCGTCGGCGCCAGGATGTGCAGGATGTTGTATAGGACGGAGCTGCTTGATGTATTCGTCTTGGTCCAGAGTAACATCGCCGTCCTCATCCTTGGTCTATCTCACAGCACAATTGGTGCACGCGTGCTTGTTGAGTTTACACTTACGAAAGGTGTCTCTACACACTTGACATACGTGTCAATGGTGCCCTCAGTACCGGCCATATCAATGGCATGAACATGTTTGGCCGCCAGCAGGTTGCTGCTCAGTCCGAAGCACCGTGGCCGATCCAGGCGGCAGAATAAACACACGCCACGCGTTCCGTTCCACCAGTTGCCCCAGCAAGTTCCTGGTCGGTCAACCCTTGCAGGGTGGCCATGCTGATGTCGAGGGAAGCCATGATCCATTGCCTCTTGCGCGCTGCCGTGCTAGCGAGTAATATCTGGCTTCGCCGCCGCGCTGTTCCCGAAAAAGGGTTCTAAGTCGAAGGCTTCGAGGTCCATGAAGCATCGGAGTACTAGACGTAATATGATGGTACGTTCCGTCTCGCCCTTCTTGTTCTTCGCAAACTTCAGTGTGTGCACGTGCCTCGAAGTCATGATGTTTGACGCACTAGATATGTCTTGCATTGAAACGCTTATTGTCAAACCATGTCTTGAGTTCAGTGTAGAGGGCCTTCGATACTTTCTCGGGATTTGCCTGGATGTCAGATTTCGCGAGGAGATCGTCTTCCTTGATGACCACAGCTCGCTCTGCAACGGCGGTAACATATATTCGCATAGTGGTTACACGGTCGGCAACTAGTATCACGTGTTGTTGTTCGGACAGGACTACCTTTGACAATTCTGCCGCGAAGCAGAGTTCTACATGCTGTCCATTTTCGCCTGAGTCCAGTCCGTAGCTGCAAGCTTCGACCATGGAACGCACTGGGACGTGATACGTCTCCTCGGTGTCGGAGTCGTCTGTGCGCGCCCACTTAGGCAAGTGTCCCCGCTGTTCATCAGCTACAGTGATCAGCACACTTTGGTATGGAACCATTTGTGCGGGTATTGTGAAAAAGGTCCTCCGGTGGAGCTGCCTCCAGCAATTCCTTTTCATCTTGTAGTTCTGCATACCGCACTTCCATGACATGTGACTCGAGATCGGCCTCCGATTCCTCGTAAATTGTAGAACGCCGTCCATCATCATGTGGTGGTTCGGCTGCTGAGGCTTCTCTTGCGGTTCCCGCCAATTCCTTCAACCTTGTCATGCCCTGGTCAAAACCTGCTTGAGGTTTGGTGGACTTTAGGCACTGGATGATTCTCGAATGTGCTGATCCAGTTATGTCGTGCATGTTCAGTGCGGTGCCTTCTGCATCATAGTAGTGCAATCCTGGATTCACGTCGTTGTCGTAATGGAAAGATGTGCAGCAGTCAGCAGTCAGCGTAAGCAACCGGAGGTAACTTATGGATACTCTTAGCTAACCTGACAGAGACTACGTTCTCGATGCGGAAGTAGTCTCTGGTAAGGTACTGTACAGCTAGGTGTACCTTAAGAGATAGACGGCTTGCACTCGTCATCTGAAGCGCCCCCTTTCTTAGTCGGTACATAGCCGAATGTCACAGCAGGTCTCCCCGCTGGCAAACTGGCCACGAACGTCAACACTGTCCGTAGCGCAGTGTTGTCGGAGCCAATTCTTCTGGCTATTTGTGCTTCAATATAGAGCGAATGTCGTGCATCACCGTATTGTACCTGGACATCGCGATTGCCCACTCGAATGATGACTTGACCCCTTTCGGGATCGTTCTTTGTAACTGGGAATGGGCCGTTCCAGCCTCCGCAGTCGTCCTTTGTGGATGTGGGGCGATGATAATCGACCACGTCTCCTTCATCGTAGTAATGCTGACCGGTGGCCATTGTCTTAGCGCGGAAGGCACGATTGGTCTTCACTATTGCTGTGGCCTGCGTGATAGCTTCAATGCGTACCTCGCGCATCGTGTTCCCGAGCATGATCCGACGTTTCCGTCGGCTGCTCGTGGTCCAAGACAAGTAAGTCAGGAAGCATTGCTGGTTGCCGTCCAAACAGAGCGTTGTATGGAGACACCTCGCTGTAGAAGGTGAACGCGTCGGCGGCAAACAAGGCCTCGTGTAGTAGTCGTGCGAACACAAGAGGTATGTACAACCTGTTGAGTTCAGCTTCCATGACATGAAGTAGATGACGTAATTTGCCATCTCTGGCTTCGATCGTCGTAGCATGCTGTCCACGAGCACGTATCCTGAATTCAGTTTCCTTTGCCTTAAAGACTGCTTTCGCAGTGTCGCTGTTGAGGGCAACCTCTCCGTCGGAGTAGAGTACCTTTGCGTGTCCAAACTGCATCCAGCACTGATGATATGCATCCAGGATACTGGTCATCGTCTTGTCTGGTACCTCCATTCCAGTCACATATCGAATACAACGATCGATGATATGAAAGATAGTGTGCTCTTGTTTGTAGAACATCAGGTCACATTCCACTTCTTCGTTAAATTTACCAGGCAGCGCAGTGGAGGGCATAACCGCATGACCTATCTTAGTTAAGATGAATATCATATTAGGCTCTTTCGCGTGGAACCAGCGCAAGTGTAGCTTCCGCAACTCGCGCGTTACCACGCTTGGGTCAAAGCTTCGTAAATTGTGTAGACTGATTTGTACGTCGATCCGTGACCAGTCTGGAAGTCGTGGTCGCGCAGCAAGGTTACCCGCTGGTAGCGGAAGAGATGCATCTCCACCTTGCTGTCGGCCACGTCTGACTCTAACCTGTGGCAGTCGGAGATGGCCATCCGAACTCCCGGCTCCGCTCGAGGCAGGTTGCCCTGCAGCAAGTTCAACAGCATGTCTGCCTACTGTAATACCGTGACTTGCTCGCGCCCGCTGTAGGTCCGGCTCTAGAGCCAGGTCTTGGTGCTCTTAGCCGCGTAAGTGGTGGTGCGGCTGGCGCCTCGGGTGGTGGTGCTGCTGGTTCAGCAGGAGCCGGCGGTTCAGGTCCTGCTGCCGCTTCGGCAGGAGCTGGTGGCACCTGTCCATGATTGTCAGGCAGCTTCCAAGGTTTGCCAAACTTGCATTTGCCAGGTGTCAGTACATGTCCAGGCGTGTTCTGGCCGTCGTTCTTCTTGCAGCTCGGACATTCCCAATGGCACATAGTCTTCCTTATCGCACCACCTACAATGCCTAGGATTTCTGTCATGCGAGGGAGAGGGCATGTTAACATGATCCGCGCATGCGGGACACCCGAGCCCTCCCGAAGATTGGTCTCACGATCGAGCCGTCGGGTTGCCGAGGGAAAGTCGGATCGTCCAAATCATATCCTCTCACGTTGGTGACGAACACGGTGGAAGAATAAGGGTGACCATGGAAGGGATCACGGTTTACCTGGAAGAGATCGCGCGCGATCTGAACTGCGTCGCCAAAGGGCGACTGCATCTTTGGAGTGTACTGTGCAGCCATGGACAGTTCTCTGTTACATACCGACGCATCTTGATGATGACCAGCACATCGTCTTCGTTCAAACGGGGTAAGTAGAAGGCGGTGGTTGGCCATGATCTCGGTCGGTTTTCGTGTCAGTACCCCATGGGAATCGCGTAAGCTAGTAGTACACTGGTCCATATTCACCTTGCAAGTGCCCTTGCTCTTGGCCAATGTAATCCATGGCGGTATCTGATCGACCCAAGTACCCACTGGTTGTTCTCGTGAATAAAGTCGT